ACTTTGTTTTGCTAAAATATATTTTCAGTTTTTTCCACATGTTTTTTTTAAAAGCTTTTAATTCAGCTGATAAATTCTGCAATTCTGTTTTTTTTTTAAATGTTTTTTTTTATATAAAGTGTGACAGAAACAAAATGTCCATAAACATAAAAACAGATTTTTTTCTGTCACATCTTCACACTGAGGCTCATATTTCTGATTTAATTTAGTAGTTTTGTCGGTTTAACAGTATTTGTCATCGCTGTGAATTTTATTTCACTTCTCGATGATGTTCAGGAGAATAAATCTGCTGCTGCAGCTTCTTTTATTCAGATTCAGTGTTTTTCTGATTATTAACCAGCAGGTTCAAAGTCTTTTTATTAGTTCACAGGTTTTATTATTATTATTATTATTTATTATAAACCTGATGTGACGTCCTGACGCCATTCTGCTCTCATCTGTTTATTTTTCTGTATCAACTGCTGACTTGTTTTTATTTATTAACTCTTTAATCTCCTCGTTAATAATTAATTCTTCTGATGTTGCTGCTTCAGTCGTTCAAACAAAATGTTTTAAAGTTTTTTCTTTCTAATCACTTTTATTCCTGTTTTCTTTGTTTTTATCGGTGATTGAATATTAAAACCAGTTCTACTTTAAAACCTGTTTATAGTGCAGGTGTTGTGTTGCTGCAGTTCCCCTGCAGGCCAGCAGAGGGCAGCGTTAACCTGCTGATCTGCCCTCTAGTTCTACATCCAGCTGCTCCGTCGGTTTGTTGGAGGTCCGGCTCATCGTGAGTAACGACTCAGAACCAGAGTCGGGTTTTAATTCTGGGCCCGTGGAGCCTGAAGAACCTCCGACCTGAAGGCTGCTGACCATCTGGGAAACACTCGGACTCATCGAGTCGCTGTTTTTCCTTCAGAGGTCGACGAGTCTTTGAAGCTGCAGCTTCAATAAACAACAACAACAACAACAACAACAACAGCAATGCGCTCGACGGTTCTGGTTCTAAGAATTTCTGCAGAATTTCTTTGTTTTGAAGACAGAAATAAAAATGTGAGACATAAACCTCAAAGTGTCTTTAAATCTGCTGCCAGCAAATAATAATGTTCTGATAAAACTAGATAATAACACATGATTTATTATTATTATTATTATTATTATTATTATTATTATTATTATCATGAGGAGTTTCCTTCTGGTTCTGTTCATCATTTACAAGCTGCTCCACCTTCAAATAACAAAACTTTATTCAAACTAAACACAACAAGAGAATAAAAGCAGCTCCTGATAGAAAAGCAATAAAATAAAAGTTCAATACGTTTCTATAAATGATAATAAGTGAAATAAAATAAGATGAAAACAGAAAAATAAGAAGTAAAACCTCATAATGAATGAATAGGGGCCTCGATAACGTCTGGAGAACATTTTGGGAACGTTCCTCCTTTGTTGTTACAACCTGTGTTCCAACATCTTCTGAGTTTGGAACATTAAATTAACGTCACAGGAACATTTTTGGAAACAAAAATGTGATTAAAACGTTTTCTTTAAAACACGACTAGAACTTGAAAGTAACGTTAGCTTACCTTCGATGCTAGCTTGTTCCAAAAAGCATTCCGAAACTGTTCTGCTAACGTTTTAAGTGGAAGGTTTCCTTTTAGTTTGTTCTAGAACGTTGTAGCAATGTTCCCTCAACAACATTCCCAAAACATGACTGTTGCTTGATGAATGTTCCACCTTTTCTCATCACGTTCGCTAATGTTACCTTCACGTTCTAGTCACGTTTTAAAGAAAATGTTTTAAGAATGTTTTCTTTTCTGAAAAGGTTCCCGTCACGTTCATTTAATGTTCTAAACTCAGGAACAATGTTCCCCTTCTGTCAATGCTTCACATTTCAGGAACATTTTGTTGAAAAAATACAACAATAAAAACCATCTGAGGCCTCGATAACGTCTGGAAAACGTTTATTTGAACGATGGTTTGAGAGCGAACGTTGTGGAAACGTTCCAGCATGCAGCACGGTTTCAGAACCTTTTATTTTTTGACACCACAGTTTGAAGCATTTCCATCAAGAACCGAATCAGTAAAACAATCTTTTCCTGAAAGCCGACCTGCCGCTTCCTGTTTCCTGTTTCCTGTTTCCTGTTTCCTGTTTCCTGGATCAAACCGCCGTCGCTTCACCTGCTGCAGGAGAATCAGACTCTGAGGCTCAATTAGAGAAAAGCTCGACGTGATGAGAGCGTTTTCCTCAACAGCTGTTTTATGGCGACTTTTTATCCCGTAAATAAACCCTGTCCCGGTCCGTTATCTGCTGCTGGACGAGCTAATGGGGAAATAAAACCCCCTCGTTTGGCTCGGGGGCCCTCTGGGAGCCGCTTAAGGGCCCCTCAGGGTCCCCAGACCCCAGTTTGGGACCCCTCGTTTCCAGGCGGCGGTAATGATGCCGGTTTGTCCGGCGGAGCGTAAATCAACATTAGAGGAGTGACAGGAGGCAGCAGAACGGGCCGAGGTTCTGGGCTGGTCCATCAGGAGCTTCAGTCAGGTTAACGAACACAAGCTAATTAAAACTAACACCAATTAAATCACATCTGTAACGATTTATTAGGTATTATTTGGAACTTAATAAACAGAAAATCTGTCAAATTGGACGTAAGTGGGTTATTTATATTTTTTAATTCTTAAAAAAAAAAAAAAAAAAAATCCGGTTCTGCAAACTGAAATCTTCAAATATGTTTTTTAAAATGAATTTTTAATGAGACGTAGAATAATTTGGTGGAATTTCTCCATTCTGAGCTCAGATTCGGTGAATTTTCCTGAAGGAACCACAGAACGCTCATGATTAGTTGAAGGACTGTTGGAAAGCAGAAAACCTTCAGATTTTTTCTGTTTTTACGGTTCGTGGTTCTGAAACATGCTGGAATGTTGTCGACTTGTTTTATTTCTGGTTTCAGAGGAAGGAGGTGATTTAGGTGAAATTTTACGCTCAGATTTGGAGAATTTTCCCGAATTAACGACAAGCCACACGTGATTAGTTCAAGGACTGTCAGAAAGTAGAACGTCCAAGGATTTTTTGTGTTTTTACAGTTTCTGGCTCTGAAAAATGGTGGAATTTTGTAGAATTTTTTAAAGATAATGAGGTTTAATGACCTTTTATGACCTACATTTGCCTCGACGCTGATTCTTTAACAGCCGTAAACCTGCCGTTCTGTTGTTCCTAATGCGACGGCTTCGAGTCTTTTCCAGTTCGATCTGGTCTGGTTCGTGTTCCTCCTCTGACTCGTCTCTTCGTCTTCATCGTCGCGGCGCTCTTCCTTCATTACAGCAGCTTTACGGGAGACGAGCAGCTTTTATTGGCGCCGCCGCCGCCTGTAGAATCGCTCAGAGACTAACCTTTAAAACCAGAGACTTTGTTAGAGGAGAGATGGACGTCGGCGCTGTAAACACAAACACCGTCATTACTCCACAGTGTGATATTTATCGGGACGGGACGGCTCCTTTAACCTCGCCCATCGACCGCCCAGCGCTCCCATTAAGGCTGACTGGGAGGTCCGCTGGGACGGAGGAGGATGTGTTTGTCTTTAAAAGGCAATATGTTGTTTGTTTGCAGGCTGATATCTACGTCTGAGTGAAGCGAAAACTGAGAGTTTAATGGTGGACGACCGGAGACTCGTTTAGCTCGACGTCCGACAGTCTGTTAGGAGACGTAATTAGAACGTTTCAGCTGGAAACATCCTGATTTTAATGATTATTTAACAAATGTTTACTCTGATATCTCCATCTTGGTTAAATCCAACATCAGAACGTCTTATTTTGCTCTTTTTATACTAATTTTTGGACTCTTAGTGGAGACTAGAAGCTTCTCTGCCACCTAGCTAGCTTCTAGCGTAGCCGGCATGTTTGGGTAGACGTTTATTTATATAAGACATAATTAGAATATCTTAGTTAGAAACTCCTGTTTTTTTAGTGATTATACAACTGTGTCAGGACTCAGCTAGCCTAGGTTAGCATAAAGACTAGGATCTGGTGGAAACTGCTAGCCTGGATCTGTCCAGACTTCACTAATGCGATCCACTGACCCATCTAGCGTTTTCTCACTAGATGGGTCAAATTTGCTTGGAGTCTGATCAGACGCTATATTTTTGTTTAACTGCAGAGGGAGCAGAAGAAGAAGAAGAACTGGACTCATAGCTGCTTTGACTGAGTGGAGACTAGAAGCTTCTCTGTGCTACCTAGCTAGCATCTAGCGTAGCCTGCTTGTGAGGTGTTCGGGCAGAACTTGATTTATACAAGATAATTACAATATTTTAGTTGGAAATATCCTGACTTTAATGATTATTTAACAAATATTTACACTGATATCTCCATCTTGTTTAAATCCAACATCAGAACATCTTATTTCACTCTTTTTATACTAATTTTTGGACTCCGTGCTGCAGTAACTAAGCGGAGACTAGAAGCTTCTCTGCCACCTAGCTAGCTTCTAGCGTAGCCGGCATGTTTGAGAAGACGTTTATTTATATAAGACATGATTAGAACATCTTAGTTAGAAACTCCTGTTTTTCAGTGATTATATAAGTCTGTGTCAGGACTCCGCTAGCCTAGCTTAGCATAAATATTGGGATCCGGTGGAAGACTTTACAAATACAACCCACTGACCCCCATTAGCATTTTCTCACTACTGTTGTTTGCTTTTAATAGTTGCACTAACGAGTTGGAGCAAATTTTCTTCAAGTCTGATCAGACGTTATATTTTTTTTTAGCTGCAGAGGGAGCAGAAGAAGAAGAAGAACTGGACTCACAGCAACTTAGTGGAGACTAGAAGCTTCTCTGTGCTACCTAGCTAGCTTGGCGTAGCCTTCTTGTGAGGTGTTCAGGTAGAACTTGATTTATACAAAACATAATTAGGATTATTTTGTTAGAAAAATGTATTGCGTTGGTGTCTGTGTGAAAAAAGATGCTCAGCGCTAGTTAGCATGCCGCTAACCTGCGCTCTAATGGTGCAACCATTCAGTAAGAGCACTCGCTTAACGTTTCCCTCTTGTACTTTATTGCAGGCTTGCTGATTACAGTTGCTCAGATTCAGTGTAAACAAAATGGAAAACAGCAGCAGGCACGAGGTGTGACGATCCCTTCTACATCCACAAATCAAGCTTCAACGCTTACAGCACTGGATATTTTAGAATATAACTCTGATTAATATATGATTTGAGCCTCACGTTTCACTTCCTGTCTCACTTCCTGTCTCACTTGGCCGGACAGAAGGGACAGGAGTTGTTCTTGCTGGACTTGAGCCACATCTGGATGCAGTCCCTGTGGATGGTGTGGGAGCAGCTCAGCGGGTGGCGGCTCTCCGGGTCCACGTGGTTCTGGCACATCAGGCAGAGCTTACGGGCCCCGGTGGCTGGACCTCCGCCTGGCGGTACCATCGCTCCGGGTCTCTGCTGAGGAGCGTTCGGCCTCTGGATGGGCCCCAGCGGCATGGGCCGGCTGATGGGCCCCGGCGCCGACCTCTCGCTCTGGGCCAGCTTGAAGCCGACCTGCTCGATGACCTCCTCCATGGACATGCCGGCCAAGGTGCCGCGAGAGCTCTTCACCTGCTGCAGCAGCGACGTCAGCTGAGCCCTGTTGCATTGTGGGAACCGGGCCCCGAGCTTCTCCAGGACCTTGTCCAGTTTGCCGGCCGGGGCAGCAGCAGGAACGGCGACAGGAGAAGCAGCTGGGGGAGGCGGGGAAGGAGTGACGGGGTGGACCGGTTGGACTGGGGGGGACGGGGACAGACTGGGAGGCGGAGTCACCCTCACCGGGGGTCTGATGTGGGGCTGGAACTGAGGCGGAGGCTGGTGCGGGAGCGGGGGGGAG